AATCTGTACACTTTAAATCCCTGTGACATACAATCTACCTGTATAACAACTTGTATGTATACCCCTGAAACTAGAAGTTTAAAAATAATAAATTAAATTAAATTAAATTAAAAAGCTGTCAGAATGTCTTCCAAAGTGGCTTTATTATTTTGCATTCCCACCAGCAGTACATGAGCATTCCTGTTCTTTCACTTTCTCGGCAGCATTTGTGTTGTCAGAGCTTTAGACTTTAGCTATTTTAATAGTTATGTAATCGTTTCTGGTTGTCATATTAATTTGAAGTTCCCTAATTACATATGATAATGAGCTTTGTTTATATGTCTATTTGCCGTCTCATATATCTTCTTTGGTGAGAATTCTGTTTTGATGTTTTGCCTATTGTGTAACTGAGTTGTTTGTTTTCTTATTGTTAAATTGTAAGCAATTTTTCCATATTGAACACACGGAATATATTTTTATTAGATATGTAATTTGCACATTTTTTTCCAATCTGTGGCATGTTCTTTCTTTGTCTTCACAGTGCTTTTTACAGAGCAGATGTTTTAATTTTAATGAAGTATGACTTATCTTTTTTTATTGATTATACTTTTGATGTTTTATGAACGAACTGAAATTTCACTTGGATAGGGGCACCAGGAGAACTTGCCATGAGTTCTTTTGAATTTTCAGGGGCAGAGACTGGTAATTCTATCCAAAAACCAGTGTGGCTTTCATAAATGGAGGCAGTAATTCACTGAGTAATCACAATCTAATGTTCCTTTGAGATGATAAGGGCCCAAGAAAGGATGTAACTGTTAATTTAAGTCCTGTCTAAAAGTACCTTACTTCGTAACAAATTGATTTATCTTTTGTCTGTTATTTTTATTCCTTTACAAGCTTTCCATGTTTTATTCTTTGGGGTGGTTTCCATATCTTATATGAGAATAACTTTTGTATTACATTTTTGAAATACATACAAAGTTCTTTTTCCCCCTTTGAAACCGATGAGTCTACAAATACTTCCACTTCTGCTTCTGAAACCGACCTTGACCTGAAACTGATCCACTCTCCTTTTAAAAGTCCCCCAATTTATACCTCTACTTGAAGATTTCTTTGCTCCCGATCCATGTTTCTAATCTGTATGCCTGAAAGAATTATTAGCACATTCCCAAATGCACTGAGCTTTATCATACCTTTGCACAATCCTTTTTATGTTTGTACCTAGGAAGTTCAGTAATACTAGGTAGAAATTATAAAACCAAGCAGATTCATTATCATCAATCTCAAAAGGACACTCAAACTTACTTATCAAGGCAACATTTCTACATCAAGTTTGCTTTCCCACTCTTGGTAAAAAACTATTTTTCATTTTTCCCTCAGTCTTAAATTTTCTCTCCCATCCATCCTCATCTCCTTATACACACATTTTCATTTGATGGCCTTGCTAGACGCAGCATTACTAATGTAAAAGTATTAAACATGAGCTTTCTCACCTTCCGATCACAAAATATGTAGGCCTAGCAATATCTCTTCTCCACCTCTCTATCTTCCTTTCTATTAGATTGAAAATAATTCCACACTACCTGTCCTTGGGATCCCATTTATTTTCTCCTACAAAATTATGTTTCTTTACCTCTACCCTCTCTTTCAATGCCACCAATAGATTTCTCTCTATAGAATTATTTACATCAACTAATAAATATGCTTTGGTCTCTTGATTCTCTAAAAATAAAGTCTCTTGATTTCCTAATGACTACATAAATGTCCCATTATTTCCCTGGTTTATATAACTTGATGTCACCAAGCTGTAAACTATCTGAACTGTCTTTATTCACTCTTCAGCATTTTAAAGTTGATTTTCAACCTCTGTCATTTCACTGAAATCACTCCTGTCAACAACCTTCATGTTGTCAAATTCAAAAGATAGTCTTCTGTCCTCCATGCTCAATTTTTCAATAGTCCCTGTTTGCCCTTTAAAAGACTTCTTTTACTTCAGTTACGCTTTTAGGTATTGTCATATTCCTCTGGTCTCTCATGAGCAGGATTTGGCAGCTCTTTGTATTCTATCAGTTTGCCAAATAGATATTTGAGATGACATTACAAGTTCTCTTGTCTTTCTACTTATTTAAAGTGATGTTATCTACACATAATTTTTTAAAGAAAATGATGTTTAACATTTTTTATAATATGTATATGCCTATAGTTCCCTGATATCTCTGAATTTCAATTATGTTCAACTAATCACTTAACATATCTGCCTAGAAATCTCTAAATCTTCTAAAATGTACAACTTCAAAACTGAACTCTCAATTTTTCGCCAGAAATCTCTGAATGTTCACACTTTATTAAACATTATAATTTATTCCATCCTCACATTGTTCAAACCCTGAAAATTGAGCCTAATCCTTAATTATTTCATTTTTCTTACTCTCCACATCAAATTTTCATGGGATATTAAAGCTTTCATCTTCAAAAGATATCTTGAATCTGTCTCGTTCCCTGCCAACCGCCATAGTCCAAATCTCCACTGTCTTTCACCTAGGCTACTGAAGAAGGCTAACTAAAATTTAGGTTTTCTTCAATCCCTGAGCTAAAATAGAAAGCCTGATCTACTGAATATGTAAATTGGATCAGGTCACTTAACAAATCTTTACAACTTCCCTTCACAGGCAGGTGAGCTAAATGAGTAAGGAAGCCTATGTGTATACATGGCAAGCCAGGGAGATCCTGCCCAGCCTAGAGAGAGAAGTTGTTAATTGGTTCTGAGCAGATGTTACTCTAAAAAGTATGCAGGTTTAAGTTGCCAAATACAATAAGAGAATACCGAAATGTGTGTGTGTGTGTTTGTATAATTTTCTGAGTTTTAAATGTTGCCTCCATTAAAAAAAAACACTATGTATTTAAAACAAAGCATATCTTCAGTCCATATTAGGCTGAATGGCTGCCGATTTACTTTCTTTGCCGCAAATATTTGGTTTCTCTTTATTTCCTTTACTTAATTCTATGCTTTTCTCCTATTTACGCTCTATAATTGAGTTTCACTGAACTCTATTTTGTGAAACAGCTCATCAAGCACTTTCTTTTCGGGCTATTCCTTCCCTGCTGGTGGGACACATATACTCTTCCAATATCCATGGGAGTAGGACCTTCTTAAATTATGTGGGTACACACCTTGAGACATCTTTATTCTCTGTCATAGAATCTAACTATTTTCTTTTTGACTTCTGAGTAGTTTTCTAAATTTGTGATTACATCTGAATGGCTTGAAATCTATTGCACTTGAAGGTAATTTAGCTCATTATATTACTATCACATTTTATTATTTTTAAGTTGATTTCTAGTAAATCATTAATCTAATTTGCAAGTCATTGGACCAAGTAAATATTAATGTCATCAGTAATATTGTACATGCTATTTTGTAATAGCAGGTTTTATTAATAGAGTACTTATTTTGTCAAAAGCTCTGTGATTACTATGAGGCATAAGTTATCTCATGTGATCTTCTCCTCAACCAAGTAAGATATACATTATTATTCTCAATTTTAGAACTGAGGAAACTAACTCTTGCAGAAGACAAGATAATTTATTTCAGGGATATAATCTGAATGAAATTTGTTTGACTTTAAAGCATAATACATTATAATATAGTGATTAAAACGTCAGGTTTTGGAGTCTGCAAGTAAAGAGTTCAAATCCCAGTTCCATCAAATTATTAGCCAGATAAACAAACTTCAGTTTTCTCATTTAAAATATAGGGATAAAATAGTAAGTGCTTATAAGACTTTATAAGAAATAAAAAATACTTGGGAAAAAGAAATATTTAATTGCTTATCACTTTGTGGTCTATAAGATATAATCATTAGTCATTAAGACTCAAAGATTTAGTTAATTTTAGTAAAATTAGTAAAATAGGTCAAAGTCTGACCAGTCCCCAAATCTTTTGAATTTCTCTTTAGTGTGTTTCTTCAAATACTATTATCTGTATTAAGTTTTGAGAGTGGTTAAAGTTACGTAAACATTTTAGAAAATTACAATTGTGTTTGTGTGGAAACTGTATTATTGTTTTCCACTCCAAGTATAGCAAAATGTAACTTTAAGTTATTCTGAAAGATCCATGGGGAAAATTTATTATAGGTCTATATTCTAAGAACTATTTTTTTTCTTCATAGGGATATTCTTTAGAGTATCATTTGTGCTTTATACAAATAATATTAATAAGTAAAAATAAAAAATATGTGGTACCTGTAACTATAAACATTAGCATCAATAATTGAAAAATAAAAATTTCCAATTTTCAATAAAATTGAAAAAATAGGTATTTGTGAGTTTTCGTGAGATTATTATTTAACGTTTTGATAGGCTTTTTGTAATCTTTTATTTGTAAAATATAGAGGACTAAGAAAAATTCAAGTTTATTAAAAAGCATTATTTGATAGTTATGTAAATTAATGGCTGCCACAGTATATTACATAAATTCTCTAGGTTATCTGTTAACTTAATTTTAAATTAATAAAATTAATACTAATTTATGATGGACATCAAACTTCTACTCCAATTAGAATTACACAATACAAATAAGGTGTTTATAGAACATCTGCTGGAAGGTTTTACAGGCATTGCCTCATTTGAAACTCACTATTATATGTGGTAAATATGATTTACATGTTGCAGAAGAAGAAACTCAGGCAAACAGGATAGAACAACTTACCCAATATCAGACAACTAATAAGTAGCAAAATTGGAACTCAAAGTTATGTCTTTAAAATCTAAATCCCATGACTTTTCACTTACTACATGATGAGAAATTAATCATTTAAACTAAAAAAAAGTGTTCTAATAGAGTTAATGTATTACTTAACTAATCCCTTTAAAATAATTAAATATTATTAATAATAATACATTGATAAAATGCAGTTTGATGACGCCAAGACTTCTTCTTTATATTATTAGCTATTTTAAACATTTAAATTAAAATAAACCTTGACAAGATAAATAATGAAGTCAATATTTTAAAATATTACCTAAAATCTGATCCGATTCTCTTCCCATTTTCTGGTTCTCCTGGATCTGGGCATAAATTGGAAGCTGTTTTAATACCTCCCTCATTTACTGCAACAGCAGGGGAAAAAAGAAAAAAGAAACAAAATATATGTGATTAGAAAGTTGATGATATTAATTTTAAAATATACATAAAATGCATCCTTATATTTTGTCACTATAATCACTGTCATTTAAGTATTTGTTCAACTACAATTTTATAAACCAATAAAGTAGGCTACATCATTTTATGAACTAATAAGAAAATAAATTTGCTGTTCATATTCAATAACTTTTACTAGTCTGCATATTAACACATTAATATTTATCACTTTTTTTTTTAGTTTCCATCAAATTGGAAAATCTCTGGAAACACATTCTCAGGGTATCAGTGTTCAGAGCTTTCATTAATCATTGGCAACAAAGAAGTCAACCACCAGTTATGATAGTGTTATTTGGATGCTTATTATTTCTGAAGGTGTAATAAAAAATATGTATGAAAAAAGTTCAGAGTTCTAACACTTCTTATTTGGTATATGATAAAGCAATTTGATCTGCCAGCATTAAAATACAACAGTGGTGCAAATTACTAGGTACTCCTTTAAATTATTACATAATGGTGTAAACCAAAACAATAGCTTTACCCTCAAGCAACTTCCATGAATACGATTTATTTAGCTTTTTTACACATTTCAGCAGTTTCTTCAAAACAGAAAGTCAAAGATGTACTACTATTTTCAGTGAATGTTACCACATTGGATAACTAAATCCCCAAGTTAGATTTTTATTATTCAATCAGATACTAATGAAATTTTGAGTGATAGTGTTTAATAAATTCAATCTTAAAGTGAACTGGAGGATAAATTCTCTTATTTTACATTTTTATCAATTTACCTGCTCTTTTTAAGAAAAAGCAGTGCCTACGCAGAAATTCCAGAGAGAAAAAAATTCTGAACCATCCAATGCTTGTTATCCTACACTGTGAACTGAAGACACAGGTAGATCTTTCTTAAAAGAATAAAGATGACTACTTCTACCTTTAGATATTCTAATGCAATAAATCTAGGCATCAGTTTTTTGGGAGTTTTTGGTTTTTATTTTAAAGAGTCTTGCTTTGTCATCCATGCTGGCATGCAGCAGCACAATCATAGCTCACTGTAGCTTTGGACTCCTGGATTAAGCCATCCTCTTGCCTTGGTCATCCAAGGTGCCAAAGTGCTGGGGTTGTAGGTGTGAGCCATTTTAAAATTAATACTAACTCTCAAGGTAATTCTAATATAAAGTCAAAATTGAGAACCCCTGGACTGCTGAATATAATTTAATTTATTTAATTCAAATTGATTCATCAGATAAGAAGATAGCTATCAGATGCCTGCTCAACAGTTATGGTTGTGGTAAAGTTGTCATTTTCTAAATTAAACATAGGATTTTTCATGTGCTTCCATCACTTTAAAAAAATAATTTTCTTAGTACTACCAATGATGTCCTTCTTGCCAACTGTATTACAGCTCACTAATTCATATCATAGGATATTTGTGCTTTTCTGATTCTCTAACTTGCTATACAATCTCTCTTTACCTTTCTGGGTTTTTTGGCCAGTCTTACTTTTGCTGATTCTACTACAGCAGACAAATTCAAAGGCATCAGTTCGCAACTCTCTATATTTGAATTTCCCTCCTGCCTTGACAGAATGATCTGTTTGCTAATGACTTCTAATCTTTTTGAAGTTCCTTTCTCAATTTTTCAAAGGCCTATTTAATTATCTACCAAAGTTTCCATTGTCATCTAATCTATCTTCTCAAATTCAACCTAATCACTTTGATGCTTTTGTGACTTCATTTTCATCCATCTCCAATACATCTTGAATACCAGAGGACTAAACTTTCTAAAACACAGTTTTTATTACTGCTCAAATCTCCACTTATTCTGGATTTTCTACTGCATCAATTTTATTTTTCACTAGTCACTAACATGCATCCATCACTGAAGTTCCGTTGTCTGTTCGCTGTTCTGCAATTTGCTGAACATACTGACTCCACACATTTGTGTTTTCTCCATGTCTCCATGTTTTCCTTTCCTTCCCCTTTAGCTATCAAAGCCCTATCTAATATTCAAGATTTAGCTTAAGTCCCAATTATTCCAAAAGATAATCACTCATTTTTTCCATGTTATTCTAATTTATCTTTTTAAATAACTTGAAGTATTTCATTTGGATAATTTTTTATTTAATTAAAAATTACCTTAACATATTATGAATTAATAGCTTCACATACCTTTAGTCATCTATAGAAAAAGATTATATATTTGATAAAAATGGAGAAAAAACATACTTATTTTAATGTACATATTTAATATATTTTCAATAAATATGTCCTAGTTGTTTGATTGACAATACCACCTTATATTTGTTGTCAAAGGACTGATCATTTTCTATGAAAAAATATCCTCTTTCCAATCTTTAAAAGGCTTTTGGAAATATTGTAGTATATGTTTATTAAAATGTGAGTTTTTAAATGTGTGGTGGAAATGAGGAAAAGAGGTGGCATGACTTAAGCTTAACTGCTTTTTTGTATTATGACATGTAACACAGATTATAGGGTAATGAACAAGCAGCTTGTGAATACATTATTAGAAAATAAAAATAAGAAAAATCCCATTTTTTAACATTTCACTATCATTTTGTGTCAAAATAAAATTTTGTTAAATATTTTATATGAATTTAAATGATAGTTAACACTCACATCATACTATAGGTCCAGAACTATTCTACATACTTTATGTGTGTCACCCTATTTAGTTCTCACAACCATTTTAGGAGTGACTACTATTATTTTACACCTCCTACAGGTGAGAAAACTGAGTCTTGGAGAGGTTAAGAAATATGTCCAAAGTCATATTGCTAGTTAATGGGAATCTATATTTAAACTCAGGCAGTCTGATTCGAGAAATTCTACTTTTAACCCGGAGCTCTATAGCTGCTCAAAAAGTTTGACAAGGCAGAAACTATATCATTAACTACAATTCAAAACATTTTCCCAAACATTTTACCTTAAAATGCAGAGCATGTGTATAATTTCACCACTTTCACCTAATTAATCCCAGTTCTTATTATTTTAATTGTCAAGTTATTTCTGTCTGCTTGAAAGTGTCATTTAAACCATCATTTCTGGACATCTGCAAGTGGAAAAACTTTCTAATTTAAAATGTAAGGATAATGAGAGAGCTTCTGCATGGTACGTGTATTTAATGTTCTTTAATTGTAAATATTTAAAAATTTTTTAAATTAAGAAAAAAAGTACAATCTTTCATTTCTTTTGATATTTTTATATTTCAGAATTTCCCATAGCTAAGTGGTGCCAAGACAATTAACTGAAGTTAGTATTCATTCAATCATCTCCTTTCATTTCACAATGCCATTGATGCAACTGGACAGATTTATCACTCATACTTATTTTAATTTGCATTGCAACTTGCATCATTTTAAGAATATGAATGTTCTTTAAAAGTTTAATTATATGAATAGTGTGAGTAAGCATGTTTTCTTATGGCTTCTGATTTTATATAGCCCATAATATACCCTAAAGATACAAATAAGTGGATTCTGACTAAAATTCACCTCCACATTACCTCTTCCAGCTGCTTACATTGTCACTTTTCTCAGATTTTTAAAAATTAGATTTAAATATTTATTTCAACTTACAATATCAAGTGCTTTGGATCTTTTTCTGAACTCAAACATCATTGGTATCAACGCTGTGTTGTTATTTTTATACTAAAACACTTCATATTCTACAAAGGGTTTTGTCTTAACTAATTTAGCTTCCCAGTAAAATATTGAATCCTTGAGGGTTGAAAATATATTTTATTCACTATTTTGCCTTCTTAGTCTAGCATAGTGCTGCAATGGAGGAACTGTGGAATGAGTGGATAATATGAATGAATAAAAGTGTGGATTTGAAGAATAGGAAAGAAAACACAACCATTTATGGCAGGTTCACAGTTTCCTCATATTTCCACAATAATATTCTAGAGGAGCCTACTAAAAAATTTGGAAAGACTACTAGTTCATTAATTTTAACATTGTAAAAATATAAAACTTTTTATATTTAATTTAATTTTTTTTAAATCCATAGTTTCTTTTCTTGGTGAAATCAATTTTTGAAAAAGAACAAGGGGTAGATAGGGGCAATTTAGAGTTCAGGTGTAAAAACTGAAAAAAAAAAAAAAAATCTGAATCAGCCATGTAAACAACCAAACTCTGCCCATGAACACTATTGGAGCTTCCCGAATCTCTTGTTAATTCATTTCTTATTTAAAATCTAAAGGTGCCATTATGAGACCTTCAAATACACACATACTTTGGCAGTTTGGGTATTCGATGTCCTCTGTGCTTACACTGACTTTGGGCCGTGCCTATCATAGAATTGATCATTTTTTCAAAGAACACAAGCTTTATTTAATTTTTTTTTATTTTAAAGATGAATGTCAGATAAAAACTGTCTTTTTAATTATTTTGTCCTAGGTTGAATAAATAATGTTAAAAGAGATGAATATGTGAATGTGTACTTGAAATAGATATATAATAATGATACAAATTAAAACAATATAACTCTACTGCAAACAACCATGAAAGAATATATTTTTGAAATGAGTTATTAAATACTTTAGAAACAAATTATAGTAAAATGAAATTCAAAATAATGTTGGTTTGCTATTTTATAATGATAGTAAATTTGCAAAAAATATTTTGAAGTGAGAATCACTTATCTTCAAAAAATGAAAAAGCAAGAGTACTTACAAATATTTTTATAGAAAATACAATGAATAAATGCAAAACATTTTAAAATTATGGAGCAAATTAACATTTTTGCCTCATATTAACTTTTTGCCTGTCTCAAAGCAAATATTTCTTAAATGAGATATTTTTATTAGAATTTTTTTCCCTAGATATACAGCCATGTCTAAATTCCCTTTTTGTTCACCTTCATAACCCATGTACAGGAAAAGTGAAAATAATATATATTTCCACTAAAGCAATATACCAACAGGGATATAGAGTTACATACATCTTACAATGCCTTGATAAATCCTAGATCTCTTAGCACAAATAGCCTGAATTTTCCTGAATATTTGGAAGTCTGAACCATGCAACATGTCAAATAACACAAGTGTAGACAAAATGAGAAGAGGGTAAGCCATTCTAATATGTTCTAATTCTACTTAGAATTCAGAAATAAATATATTGGCCACACGAAATATTAGAAAAAGTGTAGTAAACATAATATTTAATTTTGCTAGCATTTAACTTTTATTTCATGATGACCTGAAGAATTTGGTATGTAAGAGTCATCTCACCTGGCAATTTCTTAAATTTATACTTGTTATTATAGAAAATATGTCTTTCTCTCAAAACTGTGTTGAATAATTTATATATGTCATATTGTAGCATTGCTTATTTTCCTTAAAAATTGACAGTATCAATCTTGAAAATGTTTTTAGCCCCCAAAATACATGAAGAAGTATTAATTATACAACCAAACCCTTTGAAATTAGCTGTTTAGTGCTTTTTAAACAGGTAACCTAACCGGATCAACGATTTCCTAGTGATATCTCTTCTGGTTTTGGATTCGTATTCTCAAGTCTAACTGATAAAATGTAAAAATCACATTTGAAAATTATGACACCATCAAATATTTTATAACATAAGACTCCAAGTTTGTTTCTCAATAATTGACATAACTGCTCAATTTTTGTCAATTATTGTTTATATGTACAAGTCAATAAACACTTAGGCAAAGTCCTTTTTGATATAGCTATAATAAATGATTTTTGTTAAAGAAATAATTATAAATTTATTTCATGAGGTGATTTGGAACTGAAGAAAAATAAAATTAAAAAATAAGCTCTTGTTGAAGAATGAACAGTAACAATATGTATGAAATTTGAAATAACTACTCATATATTAGCAATGTTATTTTGGAAGTCAGGTATTGTGTCATAAATGGCTTGTTTCAAGGTTTCTAATATGCAACAGTATTGTTGACAATTTCCAGCAACTGCTATTAAATTTTACTACAAAAATATATTGCTCTACTAAAAAAAAAGTCATGTTTGGTTAGGGTAAGTTAAATGAATGTTCTAATTCAGTGATTCTTAATCTGAGATTTTGGGATGAACTTCAGAGGTTACATGAAGCCCTGATTTTGTAAGTAAAATTGTGTACTTCAGGCCATTTTATAAGATTTTCAAAAAGGGAATAACAATAATTAATCAATCATTTTATAAAATATTTGATTTAATAGGTTTATGTAAATTAGCTCAAATTAAGAATGTTTTCTCTTAAATAAAAATTGCTATTTTAAAAGTAATCTTTCTTAGAAAAACACTTACGTTGAAATTAAGATATAGTCAATCAAGAATTCCTACAAGAAACTGCCAATTTTAGAAATCTTACTCACTTTCGCCTCACCTTCTAGAACTAAACTTGAGTGTCCTCAAGATTTAAGATTAAAAGAATATTTTTACATCTTGAACTATAAAAGAAACTTTATCAAAAATAATCTGAGGCTGGGAGTTTGCCATGTTAATCCATTAACTCAATACACATTTAAATATAAAATATTGAATAATCATCATGCATGTTATACAGATATTAATGCAGTTAATTTGGTAAATACACAAATATTTTGTAAAACACATACAAACAACACAGACACCACAAACTTCACTCTTGCACTAGAGAAAGTAACAAAAAAGAAGTACACTCACAGATAGAAAACTTGTTGCTGTTGTCTTTCCCTGGAAACAATTTAAATCCTCTAGATTTAAAATCTATGGCCTTTTTCACTAGTTAAGAAAACAAACAAAAACATGTATCAGGAAATACAATTTTAAAATGAAATTCAAGTTAACAAATTTTGTTAGCATGGAATTATGCAAGATAAAGAAACCATTTTCTTAAGCCTGATATAGTACCCAGAAGAATTTTTTTTAAGCAATATAATCACTTAGTAGTAAAACACTAAGCAGTGTAAAAGGATTTTAAAAATTCCACAGGGAAAATCCTGCATATACATATTTTTCAAACTGTGTTTTTTTAAACTGTCCAAATTTTTATATAAAAGTGAAATCTCAGCAGTTTATCATAAACCACTTGAATTCATCAATTTTTATGGAATAAATTAAGCTAGCAAAGTAAAAATGCTGGAATATTAGAATAGTGGGAAGGATTTAATAGGTTTGTTCTTTAAAATAAATTTCCTAAAAATTTAGCCTATTTGAAATGTTAAGACACATTTAAGAATATGACTTAATTAGAAAAATTTAAAACATATTTTAATATTTCTGTCAATCATTTCCATTCATTATCATTGCTTTTGACACTATGTATGAAAGTGAACTACAGTTATTTGGAGCCCATCAAAAATATCTCACTACTATCTTTAGATATAGTAGTTGTACATATTTATGGGATACATAGGATATTTTGATATAAGCATACAATGTGTAATGATCTAATCTGAGTAATTAGTATATTCATCACGGCAAATATCTATTATTTCTTTGTGTTGAAAACATTCCAAATCTTCTAGCTATTTTGAAATATAATATACTGTTAAATATAGTTGCCCTATTGTGCTATCAAATGCTAGAATTTGTCTTCTTATCCTTCTATCTTACTGTAATTTTGTCCCCATTGACCAATCACTCCTCATCACCCTTCCCTACCTCAATTATTGTCTTTTACAAAACTTAGTGTAAACAAGAAATATAATTAGCTTGCTCAGTTACAGTGTGGAACTCTTTACATATTACTTTTTACTAGGTTTCCTTAAATGTTATGCAATTAGGTTTTCTTCATGTTATAAATTTTTAAAAAAGCAAAAAAGATTTTTGTTAGATGGTTTAAAATTACTGCTTCACTATTTCTGAATGTCATTCTACGCAATTAGTTCAAATCATGGATATTTATTGGTTTATGAAACATTTTAAGGTAATTTTTTCTTGTTAATAATTTCAAAAGTAGGATAGTAGAGAAAGGGCCTGGTGGTTTATGTGAATATAAGATATGAACTATCTATACACACAGAATATATTTTTAAAAAGAGGTATATTATCTTTGGAGCAGGATTGATACGACTGATTCTTAGTAAACATTAGTTGTGGGATTTTGGACAAGAATCTGCCTTTTTACCTGCTTTATTCTCTTAAATAAGCAGCTAAGACTAGATGGCCTCTCTCTTTATAGTTCTAAGATTCTTCAATTGTGAATACTTATTTATGGTGAAAAAATGACTACATCCCTCCCAAGTGACGCTTTTTGTTGTGATTCTCTTCTACCCTCAGCCCCACCCCCATGGTAACCTAAAGTTTAATTCTTCTGAAGTGTTCAGCTGCTCTAAATTTAGTTTTGTCACATGTGAATTTTCTGCTGTCTTAAAATACTTTTTAACAAAATTTGCATTTTGTATTTTCTGGCATAATTCTAGATTTTTCTGTTGGAAACATGAATTATAAGTAGGAATCTACCTCTACTTCTCTCTGCATTATAAGATTTGACTTCGTAAGTGTTACAAATAGATCTGAAGATTTCATGGTGATTTTAACACAAGTCTGGATTTCAAAAAGAATAAAGAAAACTAAATGAAAAGATTATCAGACCAAAGGAGAAAACGGCAAAAGAATAAAATCCTACAGATCAAAGGGTTCAAAGTTGTAAATAATAAGTTACTAATACTGGGGGGAAGTGGCAGTGTGTGTAGAAGGGGACAGATTAACATGCCTACTTACAAGTACCTCGATTTAATTATTTGGTTGGGTAAGGTTTTTCCTGCTTCTAAAAGCACCTTAGTTTTCTCTTTTATAACCATCTATATGTCAATTTATCTTGAATAATGATAAATCTATTTTTCTTAAATAAAAACTATAATAATTGTAATACAGATGCAGAAGATGAAAGTTGAGGAGAATATCCATCTTTGGACATGACAAAGTGTGAATTAATAACATAAAATTTAAATTCACAAAAACTATAAAATATGTTAAACAGAAAACAAATACTTTAGCTGTTTATATTTTTAATAGAAAGAATAATATATATCTCCTAATGAATAAATTAAAAGGATAAATCATGTATTATTTAATATTACAATATATGCCATAAAAATATAGCTTTCACCATCCATAAAAGATACATGGCATAAGTCTTGACTTGTCATCAAGTAATGAGTGCTTATGATGACCATATTTAACTTAGAAAATTAACCTGACTTTTTAACCTGATGCATTTCAGTAATAAGCATGTAAAATTTATTATAGAGTTAATGTTAAAATAAATAATGGTATTTTATATAGGTTAAGGAAAACGTTCAGACAGTGTGTCGTGTGGCAATTGCCTCCACTGTACGGTAAGCTCCTCAAAAAGGCAGAAAAAAATATTTTGGTCATGTCATATTTTTTTTTTTTTTTTTTTTTTTTTGAGACGGAGTCTGGCTCTGTCGCCCGGGCTGGAGTGCAGTGGCCGGATCTCAGCTCACTGCAAGCTCCGCCCCCCGGGTTTACGCCATTCTCCTGCCTCAGCCTCCTGAGTAGCTGGGACTACAGGCGCCCGCCGCCTCGCCCAGCTAGTTTTTTGTATTTTTTCGCCAGGATGGTCTCGATCTCCTGACCTCGTGATCCGCCCGTCTCGGCCTCCCAAAGTGCTGGGATTACAGGCTTGAGCCACCGTGCCCGGCCGGTCATGTCATATTTTTGTTTGATTGTTTTGAGAATGAGTATAGCTCGGTCGCCCAGGCTGGAGTGCAGTGGCGCGATCTCGGCTCACTGGAACCTCCGTCCCCCGGATTCAGGCAGTTCCCCTGCTTCAGCCCCCCGAGTAGCTGGTATTACAGGCGTGTGCCACACCCGGCTAATTTTCGTACTTTTAGTAGAGACGGGATTTCGCCATGTTGGCCAGGCTGGTCTGAAACTCCTGTCAGGTGAACCGCCTGCCTTGGCCTCCCAAAGTGCTGGAAAACGGCATGAGCCACCGCGCCGGGTCCTGTTTTTTGTTTGTTTTTTGAGAAGGAGTCTTGCTCTGTTGCCCAGGCTGGAGTGCAGTGGCATGATATCGGCTCACTGCAACCTCCGCCTCCCAGATTCAAGCAACTCTCCTGCTACAGGCACAAGTAGTTGGGGTTACAGGCACGCACCACCGTGCCCAGATAATTTTTGTATTTTAGTAGAGACAGGGTTTCACCATGTTGGCCACGCTGGTCTCGAACTCTTGACCTCAAATGATCCACCTGCCTCAGCCTCCCAAAGTGCATGTCATATTTGTATGAGTGCATGAATGAATATATACAATATTGTTAATTCTGAGTCTTTTAACTAAAGGTATTTTGTTGGGAGAATTCCCTTTATTGATCATGAACTACGATGGGAGGAAAGGAGAAAGTAATTTTAAAAAATGAACGCCCAAGATGAAGCATTTTCATTTGCAAATCTCAAGATGAAATACAGAAAAACTATGTATGCTGTAATAATTTTAGAAAGCATTAAATGCAAGATTGATAAGCATATGCACAATTCATTTTCTTTTCTTTCATATGCTAAACAAATTTCAATCATTTTTAAAAATTTTCATTACATTTTCGGTTTGACTTTTTTGCTTAGTGTAATAGAAATATTTTACAATACAGGAAAGGCCTGGCAGGGAAGAATATTAGGCCAGCAATCAAATCCCTCTTTATTTAGTTGTAAGCCCTGGACTCTAGCAAAACCACTTTGTTTTGTAACCTATATTAGTTTCAAGTCATGTAGTGGATTATCACTGTGGTGTCTTCCAGGTTGTTTGTTGTCTTCAAGATCAGTATAAATTCAAAATTGCATTTAAAAACTTACGAAAAGAAAATGATATTGATTGAGTCTTACTTAAACCTCATCTAATTTTCATGTTAATCAGCTAAAGTCATTATTTGAAAAGATTTAAATTAAAATGTCTACTATAAAAATTAACCATATATTCACACATACAAATCATAGCTGGATTTTGTTTCCAATACCAACTTTTATGGTGTAACAGGCATTTGTCTTTATGTTTTATGTTACAAAAACTTTCTAAGTGTAACTTGAGAACATGTGGTATTGGTGGGATAAGACAGATTGGAAAGTAGTATATGTAGTGTTGGTATTGGCCTTTAATGTTAGGAAATTGATCATATTAAATAGATGTAGTAGAAGGAAATTTAAGTATCAGTTGGAGATTTGGAAAAGGTAACCTTTAATTGGTCCTTTTATCACTGAGCTTCTATAACTTAAAGTCATAAAACATTTCCTGGCTTGAAGTTCCTTTAAAAATTGAATCCCTCATTACATAATTTCAAAAGTTACATAGCTGAAATATATTATTCTATTTCCTTGCTATGCATATATCATGAAAATATGTGATATGCAGAACATTTATCTTTGAAAAAGAAGAAACAGACATGTTTAGTATTAGTTAGCAGAACATTGTTTTAATTAGCAATAATTTGCTTTCATGTTTGCATGGGGCTCTCACAGAAGACAGTGGCATTTATTAAATGCTTTCAGAACATTCTGAAGCCCTCCTCATTTTCCACTTAGATTATATTCTAATACAATAATGAAGGTAAAATGAATGGAATACTCTAACCTTGTATTTATTTTATTTTTCCAAACTTGTAGTATTTATTTTAACAATAAAGTATCTTGGAAGTGTCAGTAGCTGTATTATAAATCTATAATTCAATCATATCGTAATTCTTTTAAAAAGGAAAATAATTTCTTATGAACAAGTAAGTCACTAGTAGCTTGTTTATGTTTTTGTTTATTTTTGCTTCATTTTA